GTTTTAGTCTTTCTTTCGTATCCAATTCATAAGTACTTTTAATTTATAAAAATATTTTGCGTGTACGATGTAAGTGACGTGAGTCCGCACATTGTGAAGAAACTAGCGAAAATTTAGATGGAAATAATAAAATCCTTGTAAGTAGAAATATTTGTTTTTAAAATTCAAAACCTGTTCACTTAAAATAATAGTGGGATAATTATAAGCCAGCATTAGTTCCAATATTTAAGTAATTTGATTCTGAAGTTATTTGGTAACTTTATAATGTGAACTGAACCTAACCTAACCAAATTCAGTTCCACCTTTCTGTACATATGTTCCATGAAATGACCAAGAGACCTTTATTTTTCTTGACAACTTATTTTTAAAAAATTCTTGGCAAAAAATTGAACCAAAAATTACTAGTGAGCTTATCCATCCATTGTGCATTTTTATACAATTTGATGATAGGTACTTGTTACATAAAAAACTCCATTTACTCGGTTTACGCTGTTACCAAATTTACGAAAATTTACAAAGTTTACAAAATGGAGGTGATCATAATATTCTTAACTAGCGTATAAGCCCGTCTCCCGCCGGGCGAGGGCTGATTTGACTTTCACATAAATTGGATGGAATTGTTGATAACTCCAACCGATTAAATATTTTAGTTGTATTGTAAGCTGAAATCCTTTGTCGCCGAGGAAATCCAAGGAATTCGCAACGAACGTGAAAGTGATGATCATCACTTTCATCTCATATAATACCAATGAGTTGATGAAGATGATGGAAGTTGATGTATAAGGAGATAACTGACTTATCAACTTTCCAACGCAGTTGATATGCAAATCACTTTCTCCACTTTCACTTCCGTTGCGGAACATTTGCTTTCACTTCCGTTGCCGACAGACATTTCCCGCATATAACATAGATTATCAATAGGGGTATAAAAGGACATAGTTTTCATGAATTGTGATAAATAAGTATGTATGTAATTAGTTATTAAGGCAACAGCAAGACACGTGTCCCTTTTCTGGAACCATCATAATACACCTTGCTTGAAGTGATAAGTATTGAGTCGGGATTTTGCAATACTTTTGTCAAACCCGTTTTCTTATAATATAAAGGAGTAATGTAAAGTGGTGCAGATTTTGATTTTGTTTGTATGCAGTAAGGTGGTCAGCCCTTCTGAATAAAACATTGACCTTTATCCAAAGTATTCTTTTGACCGAAGAATACTTATGATACTGATCCATTTTCGGTTACTAATCGCGTATAAGTGAAAACTCAGTCTTTTTAAGTAGACAAGTTTTTCATGAAAATCTTAACAACGACAATGAGATAAGAAATATGCTGAAAATGCTTCTTTTTTTTGCTTATGGCGTATTATCAAGTAAATTTGCAATAATGAGAGGAATGTCTCACACACAATTTCCTTATCAATTGTGAATTTTTACGAAACCCATCAGACAAGAGATACTGTCGCGACCAGTTCCCTTCTGATTTTCCTGGCGCGACCAGGTCAACCTCGCCTCCCTTTTATAGGCGGAATCAAAATTTCATCTGCAGGAATTAAGCCCATTTTTATTAGGCATTTTTCATTCTCAATTTACAATGTGCATTTCAATGTGTATTTACATTCTGTACCATTTACAGTGTACAATTCTCGTATTTCCTTTAAGTTGACCACGTCTGGCCGAAGTCACGTCTGACTTAAACTCTGCTTCCTCCTAATCTATTGCAGCTCTCACACAACTGCAACTGATTACCTAGTCCCCTTTTTATATTATTTTCCCATTTTATTATGCTTGCATGTCGTCACCAATATATGCGTGAATATGAACTCACATTAAGAAAATGGTGAACGGAGAAAGTGACTTTTGTACCTTTTTTTTATTGACTTATTTTTTATCGTTTGTTATGCAGAAATTATCCACATTATATTATCTAAATTTCAGCAGATTCAAATAAGTAGAAAATATGGTGCGTGCACCCCACACGACCTTAGACGGTAACATACACGCAAATGTATGAACCTAAGTTTTTTTTTCAAATTGTCATCATTGTAAATTGCTAAATTTCCGATTATTTTGTACCTACTTTTATGGCGATTCCCCTTTTGTTAATTAATTTTACGCCAATTGCACCAAACGAGGATGCGAAGAAATTGCGATTATATATAATTAAAACGACAGTGTCGCCCTGGTGTATGATGTATATGTGTACGGGAGAAAGTAAGAATATAAAAAAAACCGTCTCATATGCACACCAAAAGTTTACGACCGTGGCTTAAAAGTATATTGTAGACATACTTCTTAAATATTAAAGTTTTCGTTCGTGTGATGAGGGACGTTATGCATTATGATAAAGCTAAGCCAAGATTATGTGTCGTAAGTAATTTTGAGTCCTATAAAAAATGCATCCCTCTTAACCCTGCCAATTTGTAGAAAAACGAGAATCGGTACGACATTAGGCTAAGTGTACAAAATGCAGTCACAGTGTCACACTGCATGAATGACTATTATTAAGCGTGGGACTAATACCTATATGTATGTACATAAGTGGAACGATAAGAACGACAAATCCTTGCCAACTTTACTCTTGTTTAGCGCAGGGAAGAAACGTGAGAGTGATAATCTCTTGGGCTAAAAATAAGTGCCACTTTCGTTGGTTTATGACGTAGTCGGATCCCTGATCACGTACCACTTTGTAACTGATTAGTACATTACAAAATTACATATATATATATTTATTTCGTGTGGCGTTTTTTTCGTATTTGTGCTAGTATTGAATGCTTGCTAATGCTAAATTTATCAGCTTGCCAAAGTTTACAGAAAAATTCATGAGGTAATTCCTTTTCTGGACATGGGCAAAAATAAATTTGGCAGAACATCTGCTAACATCAGGAGCTAAATACATGCATTACACTGTAATAATAGAAATGGTCAAGGTGCCCTCAAGAAATTTGAAGAACAGAATTTGCAAGTAACTTATTATTTAGGGTGGCATACTAGCGATCTATTTTTGTGTGTGCTGTGAAGGTTGCGATGCATTTCTTGGCTGAGATTTACGTCAAAGATGGGTTAAATGTTGGTTTCCTGCTGCTCTAAAGTCGAATTGCTTATGCGGGGAAAACGGCTCATATATTTTTAACTTGCCACATTCAGTTTTATTTTTGGGTATAGAGATGCACCCGGTCATACATCGAATATTTATCTGCTAATATTTATCTACTGTGCTAAAAATTTATTCTCGCATGACTAGAAAATATGACCCGTACATACGTATTGATATGATTTCCTGAAGTTTTTAATAAATTATTCGCATGCATTCCTAGAAATGGGGCGGATGAGATATGTAGTCTAATTTTAAATAATACAATGAATTATGAGATTACAAAATTTTGCTCAACTTTTCAGAAATTTCCGTGTACACCTATATATGCATATTAAAATTTGCCAATAAATTTTATCCCTAATTTGAGATGAATACCTAACCGTGCTCTGCTCATTTTAATGCAGTAAAAATTTAGTAACACACTTGATTTTGCATTATTATGCAATATTACTCGAGTACTATCGAACTCCCCACCAGACCAGAACAACCTCCTCCCCCAGGACGGTTTAAAATTAAAAATGAGCTAGTTCCGGCCAATCGAATCGACATGAAAAGCGAGACTATCGTCTCCGATTCGTCAACACGATTTTTGAGAATTGCTCGTATTTCTACTGAACAATGCCAACTTTATACCCGTACATACCAATTATTGTCGAGTCGAATTGTAAGAATTAATTATTGTTACGTTTTAGTGCAATTTAAGGAAGAATGAATTTTAATACCCGAACCTTAGGTAGATTTCCCCACCCCAGTAGACACGTCTCGTCAAGAATCCGAGTCCCAGGCGAGGTCCGGAGGAAACGACACCCCCTTGGGCATGTCCCCTCCGGAAGGCTCGCCGAAGGTTGAGCCCCCATGTTACGAACGACGATGGCTATGAGGGGTGCGGAATAACCGTGGTCGACAGATTCGGGATGTTTTTCTGAAACTTTCCTTTATTTCCATAACTCTGACTACTTATCCTTAACTAAGACCATGGCTCAAGCCACACTTATCCTAAAGCTAAATCCATACTGAACACCTCTCTCTCTCTCTCTCTCTCTCTCGTACTCAGTATCCTAATAATAGAAGTGTCCCGAACCTGGCATGTCCCCTCATGTCGGATCGTTTGGCATAACACTAAGCCTATTTGTTTATTATTTGCTACAATTTTTACGTTTTGGCGAGTTCGCAACGAATCAGCGGAAATTAGCCAGTGCGATTTCAAAACGAGTTTCGATCTGTTCGCATTTGGCAGATTTAACTTAAATTAAAGAAAAATCCTTATTTGCAAATCGATGAAAATAAATGATGACACTAAAATCAACCAAAGTACTCCAACCATTCTTATACCTAATTCAAAACATAAAACCCATACAACTTTCCAGCAAGGGAGCGTCCATAAATCACGTGATCGATTTTTGGACAATTTTGACCCCCTCCCCCCCTTGGTGACCGGTGGTGATAATTTCGCTACCCCCCCCCCCCCCCACCGGTCACGTGACAGGAGATGATGCTCAAATTAAATCATATTGTCCGGAATAACAATATTTTTTAAATCATTAATCAAATTAGAGCTACATTACACATATGTATGTATGAATAACTATTTAATACGCCAGTCAGACATAAGAATTTAAGTCGAAGCAAGTTTTTAAATATGCAAAATGAAAATAAAATTTATATAACGTGCGTGTGGTATGCCAAGAGAGTTTATACACAACTCTCATTTATTGGCATATACAAAAAAAACTTTACTCATGTCACGTGATATCTGACCATCTAACCCCCCCCCCCCCCGTGATAATTGGTGACAAATTTCAGACCCCCTCCCCCCCTCTAATCGATCACGTGATTTATGGACGCTCCCTCAAGTTAGATGATCTGAGCAGAAAATATTAGTTATCTACGCAGATGGTATGAAGCTCGGTTTAATAATGAGTTGCCTTGGCTAAAAAAAATCGTTTTTAATTATATTTTGACCTTACCCTGGTCATTAATTAAGTATCCACTTACAAATAGTTGGTATTATATATGTAATTGATATTGAAGGATTATGGAAATATCGTCAAATATGTATGAAGAATCAATTACCAGTTACATACAATACGGACTTAACAGTGGAGCTTATATTTATATCTCAATAAACAATTATGTGCTTGGTGAACGATTTGTTAAATTGATATACGATCAGACAGAAAAACTTAAATCATTGTAGTAGCATTGTATCTCAACCTTCCACAGACTGGCTTCACATCGTATACCTGATGCCTGGAATCTCTTGTTAGTACTTTTAGGCATTGTCGTTTAGTTGGTTGTATTAATATTTTGGAATACGCTTTTAAAATACATGTGGAGTGATAGCTTCTTAGAAGGAGCCCATCATGGACTTGACGAGTTAAATGAAAAGGTACTAAGCGTATCAGTCTTGCTTTCACATTCAATTTTACCTCTAGTAATTTTAGGAGAGCCTGTGTTACTTCACGTCTGAATAATTTTAGTCGGAAATGGAATGTAAATTGGTATTAAGGTTTAAAAGAGTTATCTTAGACCCACTAACTTTCTAAATTAAGATTTACAAAAATTCCGAAACATGATTCCGAAATATAATATTTATTTTCAAAAAGGCTGATTTAGCCTTTGGTTTTATTTCTTGATAAGATGTTGCCAGGTTCACCCAGCAATGAGGTTCACGTGTGTGTATCGGTTGGAATCCAACCACCTCATTTTAGGGAATTGGAGACCTACTGCACCTGGTACAATTTTTTTTAAATTACAAGAGAGAAATAGGTAGATAAATGAATACTATTAGGTCCAAGAAACATGCTTCTTGGGAAACCTGGACAACTGTGGAGAGATGAAAATCAAATTTAATAGTAAAGCATCAGAAAAAAATGTCTTCCAATGTCAAACAAGCTGAATGATAAGAACACAAGATACGTATCTCGTGAGTGAGCAGAGCTTCTCTCTTTCTCTATCCCATGTGCCTATACTGCCTAGTGTTTTAGATGTTTCAACAAATTTTCCCCAAGAGTTAATCTTTGGTACGCTGCATAGATTTATACAGTTTGCCAAGTTTGCTCAGCTGAAGCAAGTACATTAGCTGAACGTTAAATGACTATGCCTCGTTGTAGAAATAATCCTTCTCCTACTCAGAAGAGATCCCGTCCACATATTAGACACTAGCTTATAAGCCCGTCTCCCGCCGGGCGAGTGATTAATTCATTTTCATGAAAATTGAGTGGGATTGTTCACACTTCCACCGAATTAATTTTTTTTTATTGTATATATATTATTAGCTGGAAATGTTTGTTGGCAAGGCAGTTAAAATAACTGTTTCGCAATGGAAGCAAAACTTGTGACTTGAATTTGACTTCAACTTTACTTCTAGGTACACAAGCCAAGATAACCAATATAACTATTATTAGATAAACAATCAGGATAATCATCCCTAAAGAACCATCGTCAGACAACCATTCCTAGATAACCACTATCAGACAACCAACTGCAGATAAGTTGTTGGGGTGGAATTATAAATGCCGGTCCCGATGGGACACACAACTCGTCGACTCCGTGCTGTGCGCACAGCACAGCACAGTATCGATGTTGTCTCTGCGATCTAAAATAATCAAACGGAAGGTCTGTCTCGCATATCAGTATATATCAATTCGAACCAAATAGACCTCACCCAATATGGTAGTTTTGAGTGGTGGTTATCTTGGGTGGTAATTTAGGGGTGGTTGTCAGGGGTGGTTGTCCGGAGGTGGTTACCTGGGTGGTAATTTAGGGGTGGTTGTCAGGGGTGGTTGTCCGGAGGTGGTTACCTGGGTGGTAATTTAGGGGTGGTTGTCAGGGGTGGTTGTCCGGAGGTGGTTACCTGGGTGGTAATTTAGGGGTGGTTGTCAGGGGTGGTTGTCCGGAGGTGGTTACCTGGGGGTCGTTGTCGTTGTCAGGAGGTGGTGTGGGTGGTTGTCAGGAGGTGGTTATCTGTGGGTGGTTGTCAGGAGGTGGTTATCTGTGGGTGGTTGTCAGGAGGTGGTTATCTGTGGGTGGTTGTCAGGAGGTGGTTATCTGTGGGTGGTTGTCAGGTGGTGGTTATCTGTGGGTGGTTGTCAGGAGGTGGTTATCTGTGGGTGGTTGTCAGGAGGTGGTTATCTGTGGGTGGTTGTCAGGAGGTGGTTATCTGTGGGTGGTTGTCAGGAGGTGGTTATCTCCGGGGATTTATTTTTTTAATTAAACATTTAATTTGAATTTTCGCGCTATTTGAAACTCGACTTTCTCCACTTTCACTTCCGTTGCGGACAAATTATTTTCACTTCCCTTGCCAACAGACCTATCCAGCTTATAATGTAGATACCCGTCCACGTACTAACTTTGACAGACAGACGGCCAAAACTGATGCCACCACTTACTGCCCTCAGTATCTCACGTGTCAGGAGAATTGTATGTATTTCCCGATTTTTGTGATGTGGTTGCTCTTAATTATTCTCATATTAGCTACTCGTCCTTCTTAAGGCGTATGTGAAATTTTTTACCTCTCTATACTCACTTCTTCATGAGTAGGAGGCCACGGAAACTAAAAATCCTCGAGATAAAGTATTCTCCTCCTCACTCTGATTCCGAGTTTGAGAATAGCCCCGAGAAATTACCCTAACCGCTTAAGGCTCCGGCGGGACCTTCCCACTCAAAGGTTCAAATTTTTTATCTTCATCCCCTTATAGATGATTCCACAATTTTAGAAAGGGCGTTACCTCCTCGTAAACCTATATTGCGCTCTAACCTTCACGCTATCCGGCGTTGGACTGGATTACGTTCTCTGTTCCGGTCACAGATCAAATTACGGTGCTAGCCTCTCCTCTAATACCAAAAACTCCCCGCTCCATGAATATTCGTCGTCACTCACAAAAATTGCGACGATCAAAATCCAAAGGGGGTAATAATTAAACTAGCGATATTGTAACAAATATCGGGAGTTACATACCCATGATAGATTTGTTGACCTCTTTTTGCAGGGAATAGTGGAAGTGCTTTGAAGATTCTATATCTTGTTACATATTAATACTCATCGCAATTCCCAAATTAATACCCAATTTGGTTTTGCCACATCATATCTCAATTTTACACTTGAACTGATTGATTATATCGATCTTCATGGAAAGTGAAAGAACTGCGATTATTCAATACGAATATATATTTAGGTAGGTGTCTCATCCGCATGAAAAACATTTCGCCATGCTTAGTTTCATGCTGTAAAAGATTTTAATTTACCAGAAATCAATTCCAAAAATGGACCAAATTATTACACCACGAAGTAATTTAGTATGCCGCTGAATAATATACAATGTATTCGGTGTTAATAGATTCTCTGTCAACACACGGTTTATGTAAGGCTACAGACGGGATTCGCTACGTAACATTATTCAGTTCAAACAGAAATCATAATTCAGTGGCAGTTGCATTGTTGGTTAAGTCTAACAATTATCGAGGTTCGTGCCTATTCAGAAAGTTCTGGCTCTCATACATAAGTTCTCTAAAAATATGCTGAGGTTGTGAAAATTACTGCAACTCCCTCTATTTTTCATTCTCACTATCACTATGAGAGCCCAGTTTTGTAACCACCAGACTTTCGTTGTGAAATAAAGTCTTCCCGTCATAACGTCAGACAGTATAACTTTTCCAGCTTTCCAAAATAAAGTATATGAAAATAAGTGAACATTAAAATATCACACCCATTTAAAAAACTATTGTTGCATTGAAGTCTATCCTCGCCAGATTACGGTTTCACTTGTAGGGGTTATCATATTGAACTAGTCACTAAATGGACGGTAGGTATGCAATCACCTTATTTTGGGGTTTCTGCTTTTTCTATATGTATGTAGTAAAGAAGTGCGAAATACAATTTTCGCCTTGATTTGTAGAAAAGAGAGTTCTGGGATGGAAAGGAGGACTGCCTTTGGGAAAAGTGCAGCTTCCCTGGAGAAACTGCACTTTGAAGAGAAGCTCAAAGTCTTGTTTTGTTCGTTTGTTTGTTCGTTTGTTCGTTTCTCCTTTCTAATAAAATAAATCATGTTTCTTACTTTCGCCCAAACCGTTCCAGTCCTCACAATCAGAATCATTCAACATTCACAACTTCTTTTTGAGCTGGTAGCGTTTTCCTCCAAGATGGACAACAACACAATTACATGAAATACAATTCCACGAACTTCTCCAAGCATTTTTCGCCTTGCGCTTTCCCAAGCATAATGCATGATTCACACTCTGACACTGATAATTAAAACAAAACATTCCGCGTGCAATTAACATTTGTTCTAAATAGTTCATTTTAAAATTATCGAGGCCCTTACATACATACATATAGAACGAGTAAGGGCTCTCCTCAGTTCTCATCCCTTCCTCAAGACATTAAACGCTTGTGAAAAGTGCCTTAAACTATCAATCTGGACAGTTAGACCATCTAATATCCTTCAAACTTATGCATGCACTACTTTTGTCGAAGGGAGAAAAATATGTGACAAGCCAGTTCAACGTATTCGTTGATTAGCATAATGGGCAGTATTTTTCTTGAATGGGCTATGGACGGAGACACAGCGAACAATACAGGCCATAATTTGAGACTCGGCTATAATTTTGAAATCTTGGTCTCCCGACCCGGATATATTTGGAGACCGGCTAGAGTTAGAATAGGGCTATAAATAGAGGTTTTACGGTATATCGTATAAAGAAAACTGGCGATATCTTAGAAATATTGTCACAATTAAAATTTGGAGTAGTTGAGTTACATAGTTGTTAGGTGCTATTTAAGACAAAGAAATAAATATCATACACATACATGACATACATAAATAAATACTTATGTTCGCAAATATTTGCACGCTGGCAATAATAACCTGCATAGTTTAAAGAGAAAATAATAGATTACTTGTTGCAACAGATATTTGATAATGGTGTAGATTAGTTATGACGTGTGGTGAGTTTGGCACATTCACATTTTGCAGTCTACTGGTTACAGATCAGGTACAAATTCCCATTGTAAAAGATGGCTAAGGAGTACGTGTGAAGGTTTACCTGCATGTAGACAAAAACCTAACTTGCATTATTTAAAAACATGAAGTGAACCAGAATTCATATTAAAAAAGAAATATCTAATTTGTTATCATGGCTGAGCTGGTAAAAACCGGAAAAATTACAAATTTACCACCACAAAAATTCCACTCGTCATTTTGGAATACGTTAAACGAGCAGTAAAAAATTGGATTAATTTTCTTACCTCATGGGACTAAAATCGTTGCGAAGTTTTACATTGAATTTTTGTTCGTCTCAGGTCCTGGAATTTAGGTCGGTATGAAGAGATGACACAATTATGTAATTAGAAATTGTGCATTTTCTGAAATAGAAAAATATGGGTATTTCCGATTTTGATTCGAAACAGTATTTATTCAGGCGGGAATTTTCAGAACGAAATTTACTTACGATTACGATTTTGAGCAATCTGTACATATTTATGTAACATGCAATTGAATTTAATGGTTGCATATCAATTAAATTCACGATTTTATTTATTTTACTTATTGGTGAATTTCGCAGATTATTAAATACTAAAAGATTGACATGATAAAATGATTCCTTCATTTAACTTTTGTTTTTTACATGCATACATATGTATGTGCCTTCATAATATGGAGTTTAACAACTAAAAATTACGTGTTATTAATTTACGAAAAAGTTGGTACAGATTAAATTAATTATTTAATTACCGTATAAAGTGTAGAATTTTCTCCACATTTCTGCTCCAATTTTTCAAAGAAGAGACACATCGTGTCCTTATTTGACGGTTCGAAGCACTTAGTAACATTATTTTCCATGCAATGCAATATTTCTGTCGTGTAAATTTAGCTATAAGCTATTTTTCACTTAACTAGAGAGAGGTTGGAATCGTAATGCGAAATAAATGCGCACGGGAAATATTATTAATGGAGGACGGCATGATCCTTCAAAGGAGAAGGACCACGACAAAGACAAGACATTTCTTCCCTCCTTTCTCTTTCTGAGAAACAGTGGCCGTGGCAGCGTGGGCACAGAGGGACCATGTCCTCACGGTTGTTTGAGGTGCGCATCATCTCTCCATCTTAAACCCGCCCCATCCCCATCTTACAATGTTAATGTCCCCACATGTTCCCACGGCTTCCATGGCCACTGCTGAGAAACAAGGGATGCCTGTAACCGAGACGTGGCTGAAATTCCAGGTGCAGTGTGAAACCGGGTGCAAAGGGCTTTTTACCTTTGATGTCATCAATTTAGTCAGTCTGTCCCTTTTTTACCTTTCTACAATCCGTGCAAAGTTGAACATGAAAGCCAATGTCTATTTAACTGGTCTAATATTTTGTGCTGACAAACTTGTACGGTCCTTGTACGGTTCTTGTACGGTCCCTGCACATGATTGCCTTGTGAAGGCAGCAGGATTTGCGTTGTGTCAATCCATCCTTTCTTCGTCGATACACCAGCCAAGTGGACACAAAAATATATCCGTGTTTGAAGAATGGTATGAGTAAATACACTCTTAAAAATCTTGCGCTAATCCTCACCGAACGATGTGCATGTCTGACTTCACTGCATGGTGATAAATCCTTGATGGTGACAACTTGTCACCGTATGAACACCACTCGGTGACGACTAACACCGGGTTTATAAAAGTATTAATTTGGACGTCATATTTGCGTCTGTGTTACCGTAAAATTTTTATGTGATATAAAGTAATGTTGGACGTGGTTATGCTGACATTAATGATGAAATCTATCTTAACGATTAAAATGTTTATTAGCATCATATTGTCAGGGTGGAATAAAATTAGAGTACATTAGAGTAGCTATAATGGAGATGCTCTTAGATGCGAAATTTATTTAATAACTCGAAATAGAGAAAATTGAGTGATAGGTTATTGAAGTTAATTGCATCTGTAGGTCAGGGATTTTAGTACAATTAAATTTGACATCTACATATGTAAGTAATTTGATAATTTTAGAAAATTAGATTTTAGTACAGTGCATACATTTAAATAATAATTACGAAAATTGTCTTAACATTAGGTAACAAATATTTTTATATTTCAAGAACTATATATTAAATACAATTTATACTCACGATTGACTTCTTCATACATAATTTCAAAGTTTTTAGTTACTCATGAGAGTCCTGGTAAATCAAATATCAACTTCCAATCCACCTTTACTCAAATTCAACTACGAGTCAAAGCCTATTCACATTTATACAGACGCATCTAGTCATGTAATCGCTTCTGCACTTTTACAGCCTGAAAGAACACCCAGTTTGCTATGCAAGTAAAATTCTAGCGAAATGTCAAACGAGATTATCCAATACAGAGAGATTGGCAGTCGTTGCTGCCTTGAGCACTTTTCACTGCTACGTATCTGGTAAACAATTGTTACGATAAGAAACGTGTAGTCAGGCATGATCAAGGTCTACGAACTGGATGCGATCAACAACAAGTTGAAGGACATATCCCAGATTACCCCCGGTGTCTCAGGTTACCCCAATTGTCTCAGATTACCCCAATTGTCTCAGATTACCCGTGTCTCAGTTTACCTCTAGTTTATATTGTTTCTAACATTTTCCAGCAACAAACGACCAAGTAAAGAAGCTCCTCCATCCCCGAAACGCTTGCGTGAAGAACCCGATATGACCATGTGCAACAATAAGACTTGTCCTCAGTGCTCGAAAAAATTCCATACCAATTATGAATTAGATCGCCATGTCCAGAAAGATCACCCCTATAACGGCGTATCTTTTCAAGTTGGTGAAGGATTGATCAAAATATATTTGTCCCTGACAAAAAGCTTGTATTCAGGCTTAATCAATTTTTATCAACTGGGCGCTGACAACAACAACAGGTTTAAGGATTTGTTGCAATTCTTATATTCCTAGTATACGCAGTAAGAGCAGGGATATCCTATGCCCACGGCAGGAAATCTCACGCCATAACTAAACCGCACGTGGCGAGTAACCTCCGCCCATAAGCAAATTTCAGCTTCAGCATTCGTAAAGGATGAACCTCCCACATCCGTCGGCTTTTGCACGACCATCTCCGCACACTGTACGGGGTTGTCCACAACTACCGTTCCAGCGCTAGCTGGTATAGAAACACTTAATCCTGACTGCTTATACCCTAAATGTTTTCAACTTGAATTTTATGCAGCTCGTAAACTTCTTTTTAACCTGTAATAATTCATACCTTTGCTATCCAGGTCCCTATAAAACATCGTACTTTCTATTTTATCCCTGGTCCTTCCATCATAATACAATTGCTTAACCATGATACAATCTGCATCATTAATCTTTGCTTTCTTCTTACGTAGGTACACTTTATGAAAGAAGAAAATGTTAGAAATGACGCGTACGGTTTGGTCATCCTAAAACGAGACACGGGAGCATGGAAAAGCGCGATTTTAACCCCGGTCAACCATCCGGAGTCTCGAAAGAGAAGGAAATAATAAAAACACAAGTATTACTTATGAACTCAACACGAATCCCAGCACTTTTAACTAATTTTATGCAATGAATTGCCGAAACGTGCTTAATTATAATGCCTCGACCATACTTCAGTAAATTACCGCTGAATAACCACAACCCGCAAATTCGGCTGCGGATTTCGTCACTATGGAGAAAGAAATGGAAATGTTTGGATCACCGAAAGATACGTATTGTTACTCGCTCGAAGTATAATGTTAGAAAAATTTGAATTTCGAATTTCAAAAACGCTACAGGGATTCTGTGGAGAAAAAGCTAGGAACTTTTTGGTGCTTGCAGCAGTTCCATAATTTTTTCCATTATGGACAAATCCGCTGCCTAATTTCCGTGTGTTTCGACTTTCGCCCCCCCCGCTCCTCTCGCAAGGTGCGGACTAAACCAAAACCATGGACATCGTTACACATACAAAAATCAGCTACAAACCACAAACTCCAAGACTTCAGAAAACCAAATTTTTTTGTCTAGATATCCCTGCATTGAAAATTGTTACTCAATACTAACTTTTTGAATTTTGCTTGCAAAATTAACCAAGATATAATTTAATTTCAAGTATGTATAGAATCAGAAGAAATATGCGTGCACTTATGTACCTATCTCTTAAAAGTTTTCATGATGGACAGCTTAAACAGTTGAGTATGCAGGTGTTATAATTCAGATAAAGAAATGCACTCTAAATAAAGATAAATAAACGACCAAACTTATAAATCTGGTCAAATGGGTAGTGAGCTTTTACATTTTGGTTGTGCCACCCTCTTTTACATATTCAACCATAAGGAAATTTCACTGATTCTTATTTAGAGTATACCCACATATTTCTATTTATGAAGTACATAGATAACCTACCTAAGTCGAAATACTCGATAAGAAATTACTTGTTGCAGAAGGAACTTGATGACGTAGTAAAACTATGAAATGATGTCTTGACCAAGGGGTGGTCCGTAAATTGAGGCGCTCTTGCAAGTGAAGAAGCGTTGGTGTAAATTGTTTTGCAGGCCACTGATCGCAGGGAAAGTCCGATGAGAAAAAATGGAATTAGTGATGGAAGGTTCCATTGATCCTGTAACATACAAAAATTACTCATCATTTGATGTGAGACAAATAGCAATGGAAGTCTTCCAATGTACAAATGTATACAGGTTTTGAGCAAAATAGTTTCAATCAATAACAAATTTAGTGAAATTTGCAAATGTCCCTTTCTGCCATTTTTTAACAAAAAAATGATTAAAATACAAAAAATTCCATTAGCAAATTATTTACAGCATATGTTTCATGAATTTCCATTTCTTTCAACCAGTAATAAAAACCTAATTAATTTTCTTACTTCAAGAAAATAAAACCGTTGTGAAGTTGTAGCAAATTTAGGGCACTTAAGGCATGAAGATGACGCCATTATGTAGCTGGAAGATGACGGATTTTCTGCAGAGTAAAAATTGAAACATTTCAAAATTAAAAATCGAACCAAGACTCAATCATTGACGAATTTTTCAAAGCTAAATTTTGTTTTATATTAGGCACAAAATCTAATTCTATGCAAATCATTAGCACTTATTTAAGACTGTGTGGAATTTAACGAACGTTTAAAATTACATATTTAAAGATTTAGTTGATAAATTGAAACCTGATAAATTTAAAATTCTAACTGCAAATAATTAGTCAAAGAAAAATTAATCGGATTAATTAAATTATCCTCTTACCGTAAAAATGTAATATGTTGCGTATTGGGTTCATATTTCTGCTCCAGTTCTTCAATGAGGAACCTTACAGCACTTTATGTATAAAATTTATTTCATCCGTGAAATAATATTCCTGACAAACATATTAAACTATTATAACTATTAAACTATTAAACAAATTATAACTTTCTGCTGCGTTCCAGTTTGAGGTTGTAATCGCACTGGGTATAAGAAGCGTGAAATGTTTGCTGGAGAACGGTGGCGTCTTTGGAACCATGACAATGGAAAGGATCCCTTTTTTTCCTATCTTTTCTTAGAAATATGCAATAAATTTTACCGAGGTTGAGGCTATAAAACTAACGCCAAGTGTCCAGGGCTGTTTATCTTTTATGACACCAACCTGTCGCTCTCTTTTTATTTGTCTAAAATCAAGGCTACATACTAGCAGGACGGAATAATGGAATGACATTGCACACTTTGTCTTATAAATATTTGGTCATGAAAAATAATTTGTACGGTCCCTTCCACATTATTTTTCTCTTTACTTTTTCTTAGAAATACGAAATAAATTTAACGAGATTGTTGTGCACAGTTGTTTTTTTCGGGAGAAAAGGCCATGTTAGGTTTTATCTCTACAATCCATCCGTTTTTCATCTATATAAAGTCTCATCGTAATAGGGAAAATGTCACGGGATAATGCAATGTCACTGCAGTATTGGTATTTTATTTTTACAAGACACATACATTGTACGATCCCTTTTTTTCGATTCAAATAAATTTAGGGAATTTCAACCCTTTATTACATATATAAGATTAGTTCGTACAATGAGAATTCCAAACACAACTATTCTAAAAGAAAACGGAATAATCATCATACAAATGCAGCTATAATTAGGCCATGATTTAAAATATGCCGAAAACTTAGAGATACAATTTTATATTTCATTCATGCACGAAAAACTGAAAGAAATGGCTTTATGATAAGGAAATAAGAAGATTCAGCCTAACCTGACACCTAAGTTGTTGACATACCCACGACGCCAGGTAATGGGTTGGGATCCTCCCTGGGGCTGTGGGTATGTCAACGCGTCCCTAACCTTACCGATGCCAAGTGCTAGGAAATGACTGAAAATAAAGAACCTTCCCAACCCGGGTACGCTCGCATTTTTTGAAATTTCTATAGGTTCTTTAAAAGAATTTAGGAAAGATGTGCCAAATGCAACTTAATACAAGAAGTAAAATTACATGCTAATTACAGTTAAGTCTCCCACGGCGGTGGATCTTCTTGGGAGGAGGACTTTACTTGTGTCATCAGGGGTAGGAATTAAACACTGCCTCTGACTCACTCTGCTTCATGACCACGTTATTTAGTACAATGACAAATCAATAAATAATTTTTAGGAAGAGATTTGTAGAATAATACATGCTTTTGTAAGAATATTTTAACTACCTGAAGGTGGGAAATTTTATCAAAATATTATTTTAAATTGAGATTAATGTTTATTCTATTGTTGATCATAGTGTATAGTTTATATTTTTTCCATTTTCGATGGAAATTGTCCATCAAAACTTTCCCACCTCGCATGCAAACATGGAATTCAGACAATATTCGTCCGAAAACCATGTGCCTAAAGTGGGACAAATAATCAAAATTGTCCCCAAAGTGATTTAGAAAGTGAACACAGGACTTATATATTGTGCAAAGACCATAATAAATAAATATATTATCGTACTTCATATTTCGAGACCCATTAATCCCTGATCGAGGGACATTAGTCAGGTCTCTGCTGAGAATTTTTGAAATAAAAAGCCAGAGGGGCTGAAAATGGATACATTTAAAATAATGACTAGATTTTATATCTTTAAATGAACAAAAGGGGCAATCCCTACCCTCATGTATGCCCATTGACTCAGCCATTTTTGGCGTTAGACCAGTATTGTGCAAAAGTTTATAAATTACGTCTTTCTCTGGATTACTCACCTCGCTTTTTTGAAGGGTAAGCCAGGCGGAATTATTTAAGGTGTCGAGTGATACCTCAGACCATTTTATTTTTCGCACAATACGAGTACATAGTAAATACTGCTTAGTTTTCACAAAAGATTCAAACTCACCCCCGTTGCCGTATTTTAGGCATCGAAATGTGATACACTCTTGAGATAGTACATAAGTGTCAATAATATTACGCAGAATACTACTCTCACAAGAAATTAACCTTTGAGATGGAAAGCGAGGCATGTTTTGGGAAAAATCGAAACTAATAAAATCCCCAATGGTTTCACACCCCAATTGAATTAAACATGGAAAACGATTATTTTTCAAAAAAATTGAATTACTAACCGGGATAAGGTGAAAAATATTGTGAGGGATTAGTTCAAAACTGAGACCAAGTATTTGTACATATTTGCAAAAATTGTCATAAAAAGAAGTACAATAATCTGGTTCATTCTTTAGGAGAATGTTGAAAACATTTTTACGTGCAAAGTTACAAAAATACGAGTCGCTCGAATTTAGGACTTTGCATGCAAATACAACACGAAAAGTTGTCATCTGGATAAACGGATGACGCACACCAATCCCCCCATTTGCAAGAGGCAAATAGAGTAGATGGCGTCCCACCCAACGTTTTGATCCTCTCCAGAGAAAGTTTTCAATTAAGATTGTAATTGTACGATCCCTTATCCAATATTGGATTTTATGAGTCTGCACACTCTTAAAAACCTGGTGTTTATTAATCGTCTGGGAAAGGTGTGAATATATATATGACTTCACCAAGTGGTAATGAATTTTTGCCCTCAATGGTGGCAAATTGTCGCAGGCTGACACTAATTTTGCCACCGTTAGGTGAGAAACATTATCGTCACACGGTGAAGTCACATAAATATGCACACCGGTCGGTGACAATTTACACCGAGTTTTTAATAGTGTACATAATTGTGCAAAATATACTGTATATATGTTTATTATGTCAAGTATTTTCCTGCGGTATAAACAAAGGCATGCATAAATATGCAAATGTATGTATTTACTTACATATGTACATCCTTTTCGTCTGTTTGTCAAGTAAATATTTGCATTTTAATATTTATTTAGTTTATTTACGCGTTGTTTACTAAGTAGCTTCAACTACTTTATGTGAAGACTTTGTCCGTCTGTCCGTCCGTCTGTCTGTCAGCAGGATAACGAGAGAACGGATAAAGATAATCGAAATCGGTTTTCGCCATCATACATAAGACCCCAGGGGGAGGATCCTATCAACTTTTGGGGGCAACGGGAACACCCCCTCCCCTGGCGGCAGGGGGTGTGTTCGGGGCAAAATGAGATTTTTAGTGCAATTTAATCTTTGGACGAAATTGAGCTAAATTAGGTGTTCCCGAGTTGTGCCAGACCTCCTCGTCGCCAGGGGGTGTGGTCGGAGCAAAATGAGATTTTTACAAAAAATTAATCCTTAGATGAAATAGGGTGAAATGAAGTGTTCGCGAGTTGTGGTGGGAGTGGTTGGGGTGAAGTACATCTGAAGCTACTTCCGTATGCGCGTTTATGACGGCTTATTTAAATATTATATGAGATGCTTTACATATGTTCATACGAGTATCTCATAAATAAATGAATGTGTAAAGTTGGCACAAGTTTGAATAAACATAATACATAATTTATTACAAGCACTGAATTAATTAAGTCTGAGTTTTGCATTATATTCAGTAGACTATCGATTTCTCGGTATTATAAAAGTTGCTACCGCTTGGTATTAAAATTATGATGTTCAATACAAATAGATATTTTTCAAGCGTTTATTAATAAAAACACTCAAAATACATAATGCATATGTACATATGTAGATAATTTTTTTTATAACCGTAGAAAAATTATGAGTCCTACTAACAATGGAGACGCAAACCATGTTCAGGCCAGATAATTTTTTGACCCTATTAGTTTGAAAGAGCAAGTCTTTACAAACAACATTTGGTTCGACACTTGGGCAGATGCGCAAATTTCAGCACGTTATGGGCGCCGCAAGTTCGCAAAAACGCACGAAGCTGAGCCCGCGCTGGGCATTGCCCGAAAAATCATGCGTTTTTGCGAACTTGCGGCGCCCATAACGTGCTGAAATTTGCGCATCTGCCCAAGTGCCGAACCAAATGTTGTTTGTAAAGATTTGCTCTTTCAAACTAATAGGGTCAAAAAATTATCTGGGCTGAACATGGTTTGCGCCTCCGTTGTAAGTATGTAATCCGGGATAAATTAAGTAATGTGTAGGTATAGACGTGCATGCATACTCGTTAATTTTCCGATTGTATGTGTGTATGCGTTAGATTACATATGCACATAATTTACACAATAACGTAGGCATGGGAAAATTAATGCAGAATTCGTGCTGATGCTGAAACATGTAACAATTAATTGTATACACTGTTATTAAATTGTTTGGTTAATTATCTTAAATTAATACCGTACCGTTAGAATGTGGTCACCTTTTAGTATTAAAATTGTAAATAGAGGCAGTTTTGTAAAAATTTGCTATAACAGTGGACGATTATTACACAATGTACATAGTAAAATCAGATATTTGTAAATGAATGTGTTTTCATAACCTTCAAAGTTAAAAAACGGATTTAAAAACAGATTTTAAATTTTTGGACATCGTAATCGTGTAATTAATTAATTTATTATTGACAAGTTACATACTATCCCCGTACTTAGGCTTTGCACCTCATTTGCATACATAGTGGGGTCATAAGTTCTCGTGAATGCATTTCCGGTAATAAATCCCAAAGTATTAGAGCTATCTGTTCGAAATTTTTATGGATTAACAAGGTATTAATATTGTTTAGAAATCATAACTTCTTTGTCAAGATTTCGTCCACGGGCAATTAGACAAGACATAACTCGTGACGGCCACAGGTTGATCGTGGTACGCGCCAATTTTCGTGCAAAAAGTATTTCAGACTTTTCACCGTTGGCAAAAAATTTAATAGAAAAAAAGGCCAGATATTTGTTGTACAGAAGTCTGACATCCGTTTAAGTATGCGAAAGTCAATACGAAGTCATCACCGTGGTGTGCATGGGAGCAAGTTGGCTGGAGAAATGAAATCTCTGTTTTTTACCGCAAAGGGTACAAGTTGAAGCCAAAAATTATTTTCAGAGTGTCCTAAAGCCAAACGTTAATAACCTGAACCCTGGACCCTCCGAAAATCGACATTGGACCTTTCAACAAGACCCTGTTCCTG